AGAAGAATAGTTTAAATTTACATAGCGACACCGACAATAATATAATTAAACGAGAATTTTGATCTTGTTATTGAAAAATTTACCAAAATCTAGCTTTGTGATTATACATATAACCGGATTTTTCGTTAGGACTTTGACATGAGTGCCGATAATACGCGTTTCTTTTTACATAAAAAGAAGAAACGCGTCACATTACAGTCATCGGAACAAGATTATTGAACCATGAATTTAATTGGGAGGATGTAAAAGTCTTGGACGAGAGCCTTTTAGGTAACGTTTTTGGTAAAGCCTTTTTTAGGTAAACGTTTGATATCCGAAATGATCCACATAAAGCGTCAGAAGAATAGTTTAAATTTACATAGCGACCCGACAATTAAACGAGAATTTTGATCTGTTAATTGAAAAATTTCCAAAATCTAGCTTTTTGTGATTATACATAACCGGATGTTTTCGTTAGACCTTTGAATGAGTGCCGATAAGTATTAGTTGTTTATTTTTATTTTCAATTTATTTTTATATTTGTTTTTTTTTGCGTATATATGTATCGACTGTGTCGAGGTAGAATACCCGCACAGTCGTTAGAGTGATGTGTCACGTGTAGCATCGTCTTCTCTCTGTTTTTGCTGTCGGGGTGAGTGTTCTTCCCGGGTTTTAATTTAAATCTTGGGGATCTTACACCTGTTTATTTATACTATGTTGATTAGTGTTGGTAAGGGAGTCACTGCTCTGCTTCCTTCTGACGGATGGTCACCGTTAGGGAGACCACTTCCGACGGCCGGACGGTTCGAATAGGGAGGAGAATGATATTTAAAATTTAACATATATAAGATAGGCAATAAGAGCCAAATCGCGGATGACAGTGCGTTATTCTAACGAAACTAAATTTTTTCGTTATAAATAAATACCTGTGCACAAGGCACCAAATTTTACTTGGACACGGCCAAGATATAAAATTGGAATAATCTCTACAAGAGATTTTTAATTCCATGTATCCCCTATTCCCCCTAAAGAAATAAAGTGCGAGAGAAAAATATAGATCCGAAAGTCGCAGAATCGGGAATCGAACCCGAGACCTTTCGCTTGCCGGGCGACTGCTTTCCAACTGAGCTATTCAGATCCTTTCGATTCTATACTTTTCTCTGTTATATATATTAATGTTGGTAAATAAACGCCTTTAAGCCAGCGTGTATAAATTAAGAGTTTAACTAGGCTCTGTAATATATAAATATAAATTTAACATATATAAGATAGGCAATAAGAGCCAAATCGCGGATGACAGTGCGTTATTCTAACGAAACTAAATTTTTCGTTAGAATTAAATACTGTGCACAAGGCACCAAATTTTTACTTGGACACGGCCAAGATATAAAATTGGAATAATCTCTACAAGGATTTTTAATTCCATGTATCCCCTATTCCCCCTAAAGAAATAAAGTGCGAGAGAAAAATATAGATCCGAAAGTCGCAGAATCGGGAATCGAACCCGAGACCTTTCGCTTGCCGGGCGACTGCTCTTCCAACTGAGCTATTCAGATCCTTTCGATTCTATACTTTTCTCTGTTATATATATTAATGTTGGTAAATAAACGCCTTTAAGCCAGCGTGTATAAATTAAGAGTTTAACTAGGCTCTGTAATATATAAATATAAATTTAACATATATAAGATAGGCAATAAGAGCCAAATCGCGGATGACAGTGCGTTATTCTAAACGAAACTAATTTTTTCGTTAGAATTAAATACCTGTGCACAAGGCACCAAATTTTTACTTGGACACGGCCAAGATATAAATGGATACATGGAATTAAAAATCTCTTGTAGAGATTATTCCAATTTTATATCTTGGCCGTGTCCAAGTAAAAATTTGGTGCCTTGTGCACAGGTATTTAATTCTAACGAAAAAATTTAGTTTCGTTTAGAATAACGCACTGTCATCCGCGATTTGGCTCTTATTGCCTATCTTATATATGTTAAATTTATATTTATATATACAGAGCCTAGTTAAACTCTTAATTTATACACGCTGGCTTAAAGGCGTTTATTTACCAACATTAATATATATAACAGAGAAAGTATAGAATCGAAAGGATCTGAATAGCTCAGTTGGAAGAGCAGTCGCCCGGCAAGCGAAAGGTCTCGGGTTCGATTCCCGATTCTGCGACTTTCGGATCTATATTTTTCTCTCGCACTTTATTTCTTTAGGGGGAATAGGGGATACATGGAATTAAAAATCTCTTGTAGAGATTATTCCAATTTTATATCTTGGCCGTGTCCAAGTAAAAATTTGGTGCCTTGTGCACAGGTATTTAATTCTAACGAAAAAATTTAGTTTCGTTTAGAATAACGCACTGTCATCCGCGATTTGGCTCTTATTGCCTATCTTATATATGTTAAATTTATATTTATATATTACAGAGCCTAGTTAAACTCTTAATTTATACACGCTGGCTTAAAGGCGTTTATTTACCAACATTAATATATATAACAGAGAAAAGTATAGAATCGAAAGGATCTGAATAGCTCAGTTGGAAGAGCAGTCGCCCGGCAAGCGAAAGGTCTCGGGTTCGATTCCCGATTCTGCGACTTTCGGATCTATATTTTTCTCTCGCACTTTATTTCTTTAGGGGAATAGGGGATACATGGAATTAAAA